GGACGAGGAGGAGGACGGCGCGGGGCCGCTGCCGGCAGATGAGGGGGCGCTGCAGCAGCTGATGGCGGATCTGGAGAACCAGATCGAGAGGTGGGATCTGGGTTTTGGGGGCTAGCTGCATGCTCGGCCGCGACCGAAGCGGCGGTCCGCCAGGACAGTGGCACTCTCTTCACACGGCCCTCGCTCCTGCTGGCTGATGGACATGGCGCAAGGAGGGAGGGATTGGAGCGCACGGCTGGCGCCGCTCCGTCGACAGCGGCTGCCCGTTTCGGGGCCCGAAATGATGGTTGCCCCCCAACGCCTCAGGCGCCGTACCGCGCCCCTTGGCGCTCTCCAGATTCGCTCCCCTGCCCCAGATTCGCTCCCCTACACACCCTCTCCTCATCCTTCCGCCCTCCCCCTCTGCCCACCCATCCCCCTTGCCCCCGCAAAACATCTGCAAAATATCTTGGCGCCGCAAGGCTGGAGTCGCAGGTCGCTGACGAGGCGGGGAAGCGCAAGCGCTGGCGAGACGAGAACGTGCGGCGGCGGCACAACTACATCCCCTTCCTGTTCAACTTTTTGAAGCTCCTGGCCGAGAAGAAGCAGCTCAAGGGCCTGATCGAAGATGCGGCCGCGCGGCAGAAGCAGAGGGAGGCGGCGGCGGGCGGCGGCGGCAAGGACGAGCGGGGCGGGGCGGGCGCCGAGGCGGCCGGGGGCGGGGAGTGAAGGGCAGGGGCGAAGGGCGCTCATGGGGACGTGTCAAGGCGGTGTTTTATGACCTCGGGACCTGTAATCAGGGGGATCCGGCCAGTAATTAGGGCGGCTCGAGCATTTTTTGGAAGCCAGGGAGCCTCGTGAGGCGTTGCCATATATATGCCGGCCGCGCTCGGCGTGGCAAGGTGCACTGCGACGGCACGCAGTGAAGAGAGTCCCTGGGCCAGCCTGCACGGGCCTTACATTGCTGTACAGTAGCAAACTTATATTCATGGCATAGCAGTGCGCCTGTTGAGCGTATGGGGGAGGGCAGCCAGTGCTGACTTGATGACACTCAGGACTCAGCAGCAGCTGCGGGAGCGACTGGCACCTGCGCGCCGGCTGGCCACAAGCCACATCACCCATCCGCCTTCTGCATTAAACCGTACTTGAATTTATTTTATTTTTTCTGTGCTTCACACATTACATTCCATTCCACCTTGCACCGGAGAGCTCTCGCCAATTCGCTGTGTGTGCACGAACGAACAAATTCGACACCCTCCGAGAGGCCTCTTCCAGCCCTTACCTACAAGAATTCAAGCCAATCGACATTCTCAAGCAATCAACACGTCACGTCAGCCATGGCCCGCTCCTTCTTCGCCGTCTCCCTGGCAGCCGCCGCCCTGCTGCTGCTCCTCGCAGCAGACGCGGCTGCGGCCACATCCCCCTCCTTCGACATGATGGACAGCCCCGCCTCGCGCCAGCTGCTGGCCGCCAAGAAGAACAAGACCGCCAGCGCCGCCCCCAAGGTCAAGGCCAACGTCACCGCGGGCGCCGCGACCCCCAGGAAGCGCTTCAGCCGCGACTCCCTCGTCGCCTCTGACGCCACCTGGACGGCCAGCGTGGCCTTCAACCTCGCCAAGGCCACCATCCAGCTGGTGCAGCCGCTGGTCGCAGCCGCGGAGGGCGGCGCCATCAAGATTGACGCCGTGTCGCTGGTCAACCTGGGGCAGCTGCTGTCGCAGCTGGCGGCCGCGGGCACAGACCTCGCCAGCAAGGTCACCAAGATTGTGGCAGACTCGGCCAATCCCATCGACGAGTAGGAGTGACGCGGCGCGGCTGGTGGGGGATGCAGACGCAGCACTGGCCGTAGCTGCTTCGCTTCTCCCTTGACCTGCATTGTGTGGCCCCAACAATTTTGCCTGCCGCGAATTGGCGGCAGCCCTCTCTTGTGCTGACCCCTCGTGCCCTGCAATTGGCTTTGATCCCTGCATTTGCGCTGCCGATGTTGCGCCTGTTGGTCTGCCACCATGCACCTGGCCCCTCTGGCCTCATGAGCGATCACTGCCACACATGAGCTTGGTCACCTGCAGGCTGCAGTCTCCCCTGCCAGTGTAATTCGTTGCTCTGCCAATCGTGCGACGACTTGTGTGGGACACTGCTTGACCCAATTCATGCAGTCGCTGAGGTCTTGCCGATGTGAATTTCTAAACGGATTGATTGATGCTTGCAAGCTGGGTCAGTTTGAGCGCTTGGGAGAGTGAGTTACGCACAGGATTAGGGGATCTCGCACAAGATGTGATTGCAGGCCTCTAGCCATAAGCAGCTTTGGCGGATACAACGCCAGCAAGAGGGAGGGCGCAATGCAGCGGAGTGAACAGTGCTGAGAGGTTGGGCGACGATTGGGCGATGGGTGTACAGTGGTGCTTGACAGCGCCCAGTCCCAAGCTGTTTTGTGGCACCACTGCACAGCGTCCCATGGCTCAACGGCACCTGTACCTGCCCGCTGGCGGCGTGGTCGCACCGCGCTGATGACTTGGACTGAAAATGGGACCCTATTGATGGTTACAGATAGGGGTCTGCTGCAGAAGCCTGGAGTTTCAAGCAAGCTGGGCGGCGGGCACAAACAAGGCATGGGTGCGACGGCATCACTGAATCACCGAGTCGCCGACGACAGCACCAGCGAAATGCAGCGACGCCACTGGCCGCAACAGCCCGTGCTTTGCTATGAAGGTAAAAGCTATCGGTTTTAAATATTTTTTCAATTTTTTCTCGCGAGCATTTACGTAGGAAGTACAGCATATTTGCAATTGCGGCAACTCTCACACGCGTCCTGTTGCCGAGATACCGTATGTCTCTTAATTGTAAGACTTTCTTAATAGTTCTACTAGCCTTATATATAGGACTGAATTTGTCTGGATTTGAAAATCGTCTTATAATTGCGGTGGTCCGCGCAGCTTCCGGACACCTGCCTGGCAACGGCCCAAACCAAGCTCAACGGCCTTAGCAAACGTATGAAAAGCCTTTTTCACAATTGCATAATACCTCGGCGGCAGCGATGGCGGCAGCGATGGCGGCAGCGATGGCGGCAGTGGTGGCGAGAGGGGCTCTGAGGGGTTCACAGAGACTGAGGACGGCGAGTCTGGCAGCGAGGAGGTCGGCGACGACGCAGCCTTTGATGCCTCGCCGGCAAACAGCGATGACGAGGATGTGGCCGAGCAGCGTGCGGGCCGCGCGCGGCGCTCGGCAGCAGTTGGAGCGCAGCTGATTTGGCGCGAGCAGGGGCGGTTGGGCGGTCTGTGAGAGATGTACATTGACTGGCTGCATGAGTTTAATGCAGCCTCCTTTGCAAGCTGCAATCACAGTAGTGAGGTGTGGTGCCATGATGCAGCTGGGCTGCAGCTGGGCAGCCCGCCCTAGGGTGGCGAGGGGCGGGTCGCCTTATGATTATGACAAGGGGCACAGCCAACCTAAGAAATTCGCCTTATAATTATCAACCGAACAATCGCTTGACCCCAAATGTCTTAGATTATGAGTCGTCTTACAGACATACGGTACGGTGATATAGTGACTGGCAGCCCCACTTTTATTGATTCGCACGCTCCAGATTCATTCAAGTGATAGTCAAGACTGTGTGCAGGCAAGCCGGGGTGGAGGCAGCGGCTGAAGCCTAGCAGCTCAGCAGCGCGGCATGGAGCGCTAGCGCGCTGGCGGAGGCAGCTGGGGGCGTCGCTGCGTGCCCTGGGCGTGACGCTGAGAGTCAGGGGCATACGTAGGGATGCAGCTGTCAAGGTGGCGTGACGAAACGCCGCAGACGTCCAGGCCGAGGGCCCACGGACAACTCCACTGACACAGGGCACGCTGCCGCACCTGCCCCCGCTTCCAACACCCCAGGGAGCTGCGGCGGCTCTTCAAGAGCTGCAAGCACGAGCGCCCGAGCCATCCAGCACTGCAGGCAGCCAACGGCATGGCCGCTGTCGACAGCGGTAAAGGCGGCAAGGGCCGTTTCAACAGCAGCAGCGGCAGCAGCAGCAGCGGCGGCAGCAGCAGCAGCAGCAGCAGCAGCAGCAGCAGCAGCAGCAGCAGCAGCAGCAGCAGCAGCAGCAAAGGTGGCGAGCACCCCATCATGTCGCTCACATCCATGGGGGCCGACGCTGACCCGCCTGCCGACGCCGCGGCCCCCGCCCACCTCAGCCACCCCGACCTTCTGGCGGCCATCTTTGCGCGGCTGCCGCCCGGAGAGCAGTGCGTCACAATCGGCGCTCTCAACCGCGCCTGGCGGCGTTGGGCTGCGCCGAAGCGCGCCGCCCTGCGAGCCGCCCCGCCCTCCATGCACTGCTTTGATTCCCGTTGCGGGCGCCTGGCGGCGTTCGCGCTGCCGCTGTGGTATGTGACGGATCGGTGGCCGCTGTTGACAGAGAAGCAGCGGTATGGGGCGGCCAGCCGCGCCGCGGCCCACGGCGACGTCGAGATGCTGCGCTTCGCGCGCCATGCCGTTAACGTTGGCAGAGGGGACCTGTCCGTGTGCGAGGCAGCCGCGGGCGGCGGCCAGTTGGCCGCACTGCAGTGGGCGCGCGGCGCCGGGTGCCCATGGACTGAGCAGACATGCGTTTTGGCCGCGGCCGGCGGACACTTAGAGGTGCTGCGGTGGGCGCGCGGCGCGGGCTGCCCCTGGGACGAGCGCACGTGCGAGGCGGCCGCGCGGGGCGGGCACTTGGAACTGCTGCGCTGGGCACGCAGCGCCGGCTGCCCCTGGGACAAGCACACGTGCGAGGCGGCCGCGCGGGGCGGGCACTTGGACCTGCTGCGCTGGGCGCGCGGCGCCGGCTGCCCCTGGGACGAGGGCACGTGCAAGGCCGCAGCGTGCGGGGGGCGATTGAAGGTGCTTCAGTGGGCGCGCGGCGCCGGCTGCCCTTGGGATGCGGATGTGTGCGTGTCGGCTGCATTCTCCGGACACCTCCACATTCTGATCTGGGCGCGCGGCGAGGGCTGCCCGTGGGACGAGCGCACGCGCAAGTTCGCAGCGGGCCGCGGCCGCCTGGAGCTGCTGCGCTGGGCGCGCGGCGCGGGCTGCCCTTGGAACCGCGAGGTGTGCCGCATGACGGCGCAACAGTGGTGGCACGCCGCTGTCGTCGAGTGGATCGACGGCCAGCCAGAGTAGCTGCTGCACCACCGCGTCCATTGTCCCAGGTCACTGCTGTGTTCATCGCCTTGACGGCGTCAGGCGGGCATTCATTTCCACAATACAGTTGTATGTGTTGTTGCGCAGGGGCAAACACGCTTCACCTTTGGCCAGACTGTGGAGGTGCAAGCAGCCGCCACACGTGGCGACGCCCCGACATTCCGCTCCTGATACCCCCTGTATGCAATCAGCTGAATCACACGTCAACTCTCAGGCTTTTTGAGCTGTTTCTGCTTGGGTGGCACACTTGTGGTTATCACTGTGGTTTTGTGTAGTTGAACCGCTTGTGTGGGCGGCCAAGTGTTTGTGACAAGTATTCAGCAGATCCAACTTTGGTTGTGCAACTCAGATTGGTTTTGTGCTTGAGCTAGGGTGGACAGGAAATCAACGGGACAATGCAGAGTGTGACCCAATTCATGCAAAAATATTAAAAGGGTTTGCTGGATTTCTTTGATGTCCGTTGAGTCGCTTCGAGCTTGTGGGACAGAGGCGTGTAACAAAGAGGGTCAGGGGTGCTCACACACAGTCGGATAGTTTCCAGTCCTTCGTTCAGCCCTGAGCAGCTTTGGCAAGAGCAGCGCCAGCTAGACAAGACCCAGGGTGCTTTGCAGCGGAATGAACGGTGCTGAGAGGCTGGGCGATGGGTGCGCGGTGTTGCTTGGCACCGCCCAGTCACGCTGTCTTGTAGCGCCGCAGCACAGTGTCCCATGACACCCGTATCTGCACACTGGCCTTGCTGTCGCCCCATGCTGCTGGCTCTGACTGGCTGGTGGGATACCTTGCGCGTTTATAGACTGGATTCTGCACCAGCAGTCACCATCAGCATGCTGGGCGAGAGCACTTGTAAACAAGGAACAGGCGCGATACCGTAGCCTGACGAACGCATCAATAGCACCACCGAGATGCAGCGACACCACTGACCGCTGACCGCAACTGGCCGTGCATTGCCATGATCCTTACCGCCTTCAATCCTTGCACCCTCTTATGGTACTCTCACGAGCCTATCCGGAGGGATTACGGCATATTTGTAATCCTGCAAATCTCACACGCGCTTTGAGCACCGTATCTCAGGCACGGTGCTATGGTGGCAGGCGTCAGAATTGTCAAAACGTCATACGCTCGAGTTCTCAGGTGATGACGGTCAGGACGGGCTGCAGGCAAGCCTTGGCGCAGGCAGCGGCTGCAGCTGGCACAGCAGCGACGAGCATGGAGCAGGCCGCGAGCGCATCCTGGAAGAGGGAGCTTAAGGCACAGCTGCATGGCCTGGGCATGATGCTGAGAGTCAGGGCCTCGTTTGGGGTCGCTGCTGTGGAGGGTCTAGGGTTAGGGTAGGTGTACAGCCACGCCGCAGACGTCCAGGCTGCAGCAAGCCAGCGCGGAACGTTGATCACAAAGTCAATGAGAGAACCTACCGCCCCCTCCCCCCCGGCCCCCGATTCCATCACACTTCAAGTATTCGCCGCGTCTCGTCAAGAGCGGCCCGCACCAGCGCCGGAGCCAGCCATCACTGCAGGCAGCGGGCGGCATGGCCGCTCAAGACAGCGAAAGAGGCGGCGGCGCCAGCAGCAGCAGCAGCAGCAGCAGCAGCAGCAGCAGCAGCAGCAGCAGCAGCAGCAGCAGCAGCAGCAGCAGCAGCAGCAGCAGCAGCAGCAGCAGCAGCAGCAGCAGCAGCAAAGGCACAGGTGGCAAGCACCCTGCCACGCCGCCCACATCCACGGGGGCCAAAACGGAGCCGCCCGCCTGCGCTGCCCCCACTGGTCTCAGCCAACCCGACGTACTGGCGGCCATCTTTGCGCGGCTGCCGCTCGGCGAGCAGTGCGCCACAATCTGTGCTCTCGGCCGCACCTGGCAGCAGTGGGCGGCGCCAAAGCGTGAGGCCCTGCGGAGCGCCGGGCCCTCAATATACTGCCAATACTGGAGGCACGAGCGGCTCGCGGTGTTCGTGCTGCCGATGTGGTATGTGATCGATCAATGTCCGCGGCTGACAGACGTGCAACGGTATGGGGCGGCCCTCCGCGCCGCGGCCCATGGCGACGCCGAGGTGCTGCGCTTTGCGTATCGCGCCGGCTGCCGGGTGGACGTGCAGCTGTGCAATGAGGCTGCGCGTGGCGGCCATTTGGCCGCGCTGCAGTGGGCGCGCGACGCCGGGTGCCCATGGACTGAGCCAACGTGCTCTCTGGCCGCAGCCGGCGGACACTTGTTGCAGCTGCGGTGGCTGCGCAGCGCCGGCTGCCCTTGGAACGAGTGGACGTGCCAGGCGGCCGCAAGGGACGGGCACTTGGAGCTGCTGCGCTGGGCAAGGGGCAAGGGCTGCCCCTGGGACGAGCACACGTGCCAGGCAGCCGCGCAGGGGGGGGACATTTGGAGCTGCTGCAATGGCTGCATGGCGCCGGTTGCCCCTGGGACCAGCAGACTTGTACCGCGGCGGCGCGTGCGGGGCAGCTGGGGGTGTTGCAGTGGGCTCATGCAGCCGGCTGCCCTTGGAACACGGTGACATGCGCCGCCGCGGCGCTGTGCGGGCACCTGCACTTGCTGAAGTGGCTGAACGGCGCTGGCTGCCCGTGGGACGAGCGCACATGCGCGGCCGCGGCGCGCGGGGGGCATTTGGCGGTGCTTCAGTGGGCGCGCGGCGCCGGCTGCCCCTGGGACGCGGGCATGTGCACATCGGCCGCCTACTTCGGACACCTCCACGTTCTGACCTGGGCGCGCGGCGAGGGCTGCCCCTGGGACGCGCGCATGTGCGAGACTGCGGCGAGCCGCGGCCACCTCCACGTGCTGCGCTGGGCACGCGACGCGGGCTGCCCTTGGGACCGCGAGCTGTGCCGCAAGACGGCGCAGACGTCGATGCATGACGCTGTGCTCGAGTGGATTGACGGCCATCCAGGCTAGCTGCTGCACCACAGCTCCCCTTGTCTCAGGCCCCGTATGTGTGTCTCGCCTCGAACGGCCGCCGGCGGGCGTCTTTTTATTGCAGCACGATCGGGGTGTCGCGCGGGGGCACACACGCCTTGACCACTGGCCAGACTGTCGGTGACGTCACGCGCCGCTGCCAATGCACGTTGCTGACGAAACCCTGGCACCACACTCATCATACCTCCTGTTACGCAGAAGTTGAATCGCATGCCAATCTTCAGGCTTTCGGGGCAGTCAATGTTTGAGAGACGAAGTTGTGAGTAGCTGTAGATGATGGTGGTTCAATCGCTTATGTGGCCAGCCAGCCACGTGCTTGCAACAGGCCATTAGCCTTACGACATGTGCAGATCATGTCCCTGAGCTAGGGTTCAGCCTTAACCCTATCTCTGAGAGGGGGCCCGGTGCCCCCTCTCTTGTGGCCGTATCAATGCTGCCCGCCAATATGATGGGCCGCAGTGCAGCGCAGGGGTGGGCGTTGGGTGGCTGCAATGGTGGGATGTGTGCACAGAGGGTATGGGACCATCCAGCTACAAGTGTGCATAGCGCACCCCAATGAACAGGTAGGAAAATCTCAAATGCACCATTGCCCGTATCTGCACACGGGCCTAATTTTCACACCGTGCTGATAGCTTTAACTGCTAGTGGGACCCCCGTGTATCAATCACAGACTGGCTTCTGCATTGACAGTCATGGTAAACAACCTGTAACAACCTGGGCGCGCGCACAACCAAGGCACAGGCGGCGCAACTGCCTCCACGACTCATCGACAGCACCACCAGGATGCAGCAACGCCACTGGCCGCAGTGCAGCGGAACGTGCATTGCCATATCTGCTCTTGCTATCAGCTTTCTTACCCTTTTATGATGCTCTCACGAGCCTATCCGTAGGGAGTACGGCATATTTGTAATCATCCTGCAAATCTCGCACGCGGCCTGATACTAAGGTACGGTGCTATAAGGGCAGGCGCCCCATAATCTGTGAATTTCCTCACGGCTCAGGTGATGGCGGTCAGGACGGGCTGCAGGGAAGCCGTTGCTGAGGCAGCGGTCGCGGCCTGACAGCAGCAGATCGCAGCACAGTTGATCGCGGGCCGCGAGCACACCCTGGCGGAGGCAGCTTGGGGCGCCGCTGCGCGCCCTGGGCATGACACTCAGTTTCACGGCCATGTTTGGGGGTGCCGCTGTCGAGGTACTGTAGTGTGACACGTGACGCCGCAGGCGTCCAGGCTGCAGCGGACGAGCGCCCTGGGACCAAGCTAACGGGGCACGCGCAACGCCCCCGCCCCCGCCTCCAATCCATCCCAGGGAGCTGCGGCGGCTCTTCAAGAGCGGCAAGCACAAACGCCCGACCCAGCCATCACTGCAGGCAGCCGGCAGCATGGCCGCTGTCGACAGCGATAGAGGCGGCGAGGGCGGGCGCAGCAGCAGCAGCAGCAGCAGCAGCAGCAGCAGCAGCAGCAGCAGCAGCAGCAGCAGCAGCAGCAGCCGCACCTGCGGCGAGCACCCTATCACGCCGCATGCATGCACGGGGGCCGACACGGACCCGCCTCCCGCCGCCGGCCCTGCCACCAGCATCAGCCACCCGCACTTACTGGCGGCCATCTTTGAGCGCCTGCCGCCCGGCGAGCAGTGCGTCACAATCGGCGCTCTCGACCACGCCTGGCGGCGGTGGGCGGCCCCCAAGCGCGCCGCACTGCGGGCCGCGCGGCCCTCTGAGTGCTGGGTTGACTACCGTTTTGAGCTGTTTGGGATGTTTGCGCTGCCGCTGTGGTATGTGATGGATCGGTGGCCGCTGCTGACAGAGGAGCAGCGGTATGGGGCGGCCCTCCGCGCCGCAGTTCACGGCGACGTCGAAACCCTGCGCTTCGCGCGCCACGCCGGCTGCCGTTTAGACAAGTCCGTGTGCAACGCGGCCGCGAGCGGCGGCCACTTGGCCGCTCTGCAGTGGGCGCACGGCGCCGGTTGCTCGTTGACCTCTTGGACGTGCGCTTCAGCCGCAGCCGGCGGACACTTGCAGCTGCTGCGGTGGCTGCACGGCGCCGGCTGCCCCTGGGACGAGTGGACATGTGAGGCGGCTGCACAGGGCGGGCACTTGGAGCTGCTGCGTTGGGCGCGCGGCGCCGGCTGTCCCTGGGACGAGAACACGTGCGACGCGGCGGCGGGCGCAGGCCAGCTGGCGGTGCTGCAGTGGGCTCATGCAGCCGGCTGCCCGTGGCGCGCGAGGACGTGCGAGGCGGCCGCGCAGGGCGAACACTTGGAGCTGCTGCGCTGGGCTCGGGGCGCCGGCTGCCCCTGGGACCAGCACACGTGCCAGGCCGCGGCACGCAGGGGGGCCCTGGACGTGCTGCAGTGGGCGCGCGACGCCGGCTGCCCCTGGGGCACGGAGGTGTGCGTGTCTGCCTCCTTCTTTGGACACCTCCACATTCTGACGTGGGCGCGCGGCGAGGGCTGCCCCTGGGACGAGCGTACGTGCGAGACCGCGGCGCGCCGTGGACACCTCCACGTGCTGCGCTGGGCGCGCGACGCGGGCTGCCCTTGGAACCGCCAGATGTGCCGCAAGCTGGCGCAGACGTCGAGGCGCGCCGCCGTGGTCGAGTGGATCGATGGCCAGCCAGAGTAGCTGCTGCACCCCCGCTGACCCAGGCCCCTGCTGTGTGCCTCGCCTCGACAATGTTGGGCTGGCGCGTTTCCTTTGCAGCACGATTGGGGTGTCGCGCGGGGGCACACACATGTCACCTTTGGCCGGCCTATGGCGTCACGCACCGCCGCCAAGTCTGGCGAGGCGCTGGCACCCCACTCATCAAACCTCCTGTCATGCATGAATTGAATCATTTGTCAACCTTTCAGGCTTTTTGGGGTGTTCATGTTTGGGAGACAAGCTTGTGAGCAACTGTATTGCTTGAGCCGCTAATGTGGCCGGTCGGGCAAGTGTGTGCCACAAGCCGTCAGCACCTCCGATACGTGCAGATCATATGCCCGAGTTAGGGTTGGAAGCGACCCAACGGCCCAGGTTGCGGCGCTGGGGGAGCTGCCTGCCTATTCAATGGCCCGCAGCGCAGTGCAGGGTACATATAGACACCTGCCAGCCAGCCGTGCTGATGGCTCTGACTGCTACTGTGACCCCTTGCGTCAGCTATAGACAGGCTCCTGCGACATCACCCACCTCCAGCAAGCCCTAGCTGGGTGCAAGATCAAATGAGGCACGGGCGCGACAGCTCGTCGACTCATCGACAGCCACCTCGACACCCAGACCGAATGCGGCGACGGCGCCACTGGGCGCAGCTGCCCGTGCTTTGCCATAGAGTACATCCCACCAGTATAACTCTTACATCCCTACGGTAGTTCTCCAGCCTGTGGAACGCCTTGCACGATGACAGTCTGGATCCTGCATCAGCAGTCACCACCAGCAAGCTGGGCGAGAGCACTTGCAAACAAGGCACGGGCGCAACAGCCTCAACAACCTCATCAACAGCACCACGCACCGAAATGCAGCGTCACCACTGAGCCACTGGCCGCAACTGCCTGTGCATTGTCATGGTTCTTATCGCCTTCGATGTTTGCACCCTCTTATGGTACTCTCACGGGCCTATATGTAGGGATTACGGCATATTTGTAATCCTGCGAATCTCACACGCGCTTTGATCCTGAGATACGGTGCTATAGTAACAAGCGGCCCAAGCTCCACAAAGTCATACGGTCGAGGCCTCAGGTGATGACGGTCAGGAAGGGCTGCAGGCAAGCCGTGGCGGAGGCAGCGGCTGCAGCATGACAGCAGATCGGCACCGCAGCGACGAGCATGGAGCGGGCCGCGAGCGCGCCCCCGGGGCAGGCAGCATGGGGAGCCGCTGCATGCCATGGGCATAATGCTGAGAGTCAGGGCGATGTTTGGGGGTGCTGCTGTGGAGGGTGCAGGCTTAGGATGGGGTAGGGCCACGCCGCAGACATTCAGGCTGCAGCAGGCCGAGCGCGAATTGCTTCTTACGACAACACTGAGGAGACCCACCGCCAACCCCACCACCGCTTCCATTCCACTTCAAGAATTAGCGGCGGCTCTTCAAGAGCAGCCAGCACGGGCGCCTGAGCCAGCCGTCACTGCAGGCAGCCGGCGGCATGGCGGCCGACAGCGAGAGAGGATGCGGCGGCAGCAGCAGCAGCAGCAGCAGCAGCAGCAGCAGCAGCAGCAGCAGCAGCAGCAGCAGCAGCAGCAGCAGCAGCAGCGGCAGCAGCAGCAGCAGCAATGGTGACGAACACCCTGTCATGCCGCGCACATCCAAGGGGGCCGACATGGAGCCGCCTGCAGACACGGCCGCCCCCACTGGTCTCAGCCACCCAGACTTGCTGGCGGCCATCTTTGAGCAGCTGCCGCCCGTCGAGCAGTGCGCCACGATCTGCGCTCTCAGCCGCGCCTGGCGGCGGTGGGCGGCGCCAAAGCGCGCTGCCCTGCGGGGCGCGGCACCCCCCGAATCCTGCTCCTACTGGAGTAATGAGCGGCTAGCGGCGTTCACGCTGCCGCTGTGGTATGTGATGGATCAGTGGCCGCGGCTGACAGAGACACAGCGGTATGGGGCGGCCCTCCGCGCTGCGGCACACGGCGACGTCGAAACCCTGCGCTTCGCGCGCCACGCCGGCTGCCGTGTAGACGCGCCCGTGTGCCACGCGGCCGCGAGTGGCGGCCACTTGGCCGTGGTGCAGTGGGCGCATGGCGCAACAGGGTGCCCGTTGACCACTTGGACGGGCGCCTCGGCCGCATACGGCGGACACTTGCAGCTGCTGCGGTGGCTGCGCGGCGCCGGCTGCCCTTGGGACGAGTGGACATGTGCAGCGGCTGCACATGGCGGGCACTTAGAGCTGCTGCGCTGGGCGCGCGGCGCCGGCTGTCCCTGGGACGAGCTCACGTGCGACCTGGCGGCGGGCGCGGGCCGGCTGGCGGTGCTGCAGTGGGCTCATGCAGCCGGCTGCCCCTGGGACTATCGGACGTGCGAGGCGGCGGCGCAGGGCGGGCACTTAGAGCTGCTGCGCTGGGCGCGGGGCGCCGGCTGCCCCTGGGACCAGCGCACGTGCCAGGCCGCAGCGCGGGGGGGACATTTAGAGCTGCTGCAGTGGGCGCGCAGCGCTGGCTGCCCCTGGGGCGCAGACCTGTGCGTGTCGGCCGCCGCATTCGGACACCTCCACATTCTGACTTGGGCGCGCGCTGCTGGCTGCCCCTGGGACGAGCACACGTGCGAGCTTGCGGCGCGCTGCGGCCGCCTCGACGTGCTGCGCTGGGCGCGCGACGCAGGCTGCCCTTGGAATCGCAATCGGTGCCTCAAGGCGGCGCAGGGGTCGTCGCACGGCACTGTCGTCGAGTGGATCGGCGGCCAGCCGGAATAGCTGCTGCGCCGCCACCGTTGCGTCCTCCCAGGCTCCTGCTGTGTTCATCGCCTGAACGGCGTCAGGCGGGCTTCTGTCATTATGTGCAGCAGGGTTGGGGTGTCGCGCGGGGGCACACACATGTCACGTTTGGCCGGCCTATGGCGTCACGCGCCGCCGCCAAGTCTGGCGAGGCGCTGGCACCCCATTTATCATACCCGCTGTTACGCATAAATTGAATCATTTGTCAACCTTTCAGGCTTTTTGGGGTGTTGATGTTTGGGAGACAAGCTTGTGAGCAACTGTAAACGCTGGTGGTTGAATCACTTATGTGGCCGGCCGGCCAAGTGTCTGCAACAAGCCATCAGCATTTTTGGTAGGTGCAGATCGTTGGCCTGAGCTAGGGGTGGAAGAGACCTAACAGCCCAGATTGCGGCGCTGGGGGAGCTGCCTGCCTATTCAATGGCCCGCAGCGCAGTGCAGGGTACATATGGACACCTGCATGCCAGCCGTGCTGATGGCTCTGACTGCTACTGGGACCCCTTAAATTGGCTATAGACAGGCTCCTCCAGCAAGCGACGTCAGTCACCTCCAGCAAGCTCTAGCTGGGCGCAAGATTTAATGAGGCACGGGCGCAACGGCTCATCGACTCATCGACAGCAACACCGAAATGCCGCGACGCCTCTGGCCGCAGCTGCCCGTGCTTTGCCATACCGTACATCCCACCGATATCACTTGCATACCCGTGCGGTGATTCTCCAGCCTATCCGTTGGGATTACGGAATATTTGTGAAGCTGCAGATCACTTTTGAAACTGCAATACGATGCGATAGGGACAGGCAGCCCCAGTGTTTGTGGAGTAACACGCTCCCGGTCTGAGGTGATGACGGTGAGGACTGGCTGCAGGCAAGCCATAGCGGCGGCAGCGGTCGCAGCCTGACAACAGGTTGCAGCAAGAGCATCGAGCGGGCCGCGAGAACGCTGGTGGAGGGAGCTTGGGGCGCCGCTGCATGCCCTGGGCATGATGCTGACAGCCGGGGCCGTGCCAAGGAAAGCCGCTGTCGAGCTAGTGTGGCGTAACGCCGCAAACGTCTAGGCTGCAGGGGACGAGCGCTCCTTGTGACGACAACGTAAAGGACAGATTGCGCCGCCCCCGCAGCCACTTTTGCTGCGCCGCCACTTTTTCCCATCATTCCAACCCATTCCAGGGAGCAGCGGCGCCTAGCCAAGAGCAGCCAGGACGAGCGCCCCAGCAACAGGCAGCCGGCTGTACGGCTGATTCCAATAGCCACAGAAACGGCGAGGGCGTTCGCAACGGCAGCAGCAGCAGCAGCAGCAGCAGCGGCAGCAGCAGCAGCAGCAGCAGCAGCAGCAGCAAAGATGGCGAGCACCCCATAATGCCACCCACATCCAAGGGGGGCGACATGGAGCCGCCTGCAGACACGGCCGCCCCCACTGGTCTTAGCCACCCAGACTTGCTGGCGGCCATCTTTGAGGGCCTGCCGCTTGGCGAGCAGTGCGCCACAATCGGCGCTCTCAGCCGCGCCTGGCGGCGTTGGGCTGCCCCAAATCGCGCCGCCCTGCGAGTACGCGCCCCGCCCTCCATGTACTGCTTTGATTCGCGTTACGAGCGGCTGGCGGCGGCGTTCGCACTGCCGCTGTGGTATGTGATGGATCGGTGGCCGCGCCTGAGAGAGAAGCAGCGGTCGAGGGCGGCCGTCCGCGCCGCAGTCCATGGCGAGGTTGAGATGCTGCGCTTCGCGCGCCGCGCTGTCAACAGCTGGGACTTGTCCGTGTGCCATGCGGCCGCAAGCTGCGGACACTTGGAGCTTCTGCTGTGGCTGCGCGGCGCCGGCTGTCCTTGGGACGAGTGGACATGTGAGGCGGCTGCACAGGGCGGGCACTTGGAGCTGCTGCAGTGGCTGCGCAGCGCCGGCTGTCCCTGGGACGAGAACACCTGCGACTTGGCGGCGCTCGGGGGCCAGCTGACGGTGCTGCAGTGGGCTCATGCAGCCGGCTGCCCGTGGCACACGGGGACGTGCGAGGCGGCGGCGCGGCGCGGGCACCTGAACTTGCTGAAGTGGCTGCGCGGCGCTGGCTGCCCCTGGGACGAGGCCACGTGCGCTTCCGCGGCGCGCGGGGGGGAATTGAAGGTGCTTCAGTGGGCGCGCGGCCCTGGCTGCCCCTGGGACAAGCGCACCTGCGAGGCCGCGGCGGCCAGCGGCCGCCTCGAGCTGCTCCGATGGGCGCGCGGCGCGGGCTGCCCTTGGGACCGCACGATGTGCCGCAAGCAGGCGCTGGCGTCGTGCCACTGCTCCGTTGCTGTGTGGATTGACCGCCAGCGAGAGTAGCTGACGCGCCGCAGCTGCCTTGTCCCAGGCCTCTGCTGTGAATCTCGCCTTTACGGCGTCAAGCGGGCTTCAATTGAATAGCACGACTGCGTTGTTGCGCAGGGGCACACATATCTCGTCTTTGGCCACACTGTTGGGTCGCAAGCAGCCGCTGACCTGGCAACGCGGCGACATGTCACTCACACTGTATGCAATCAGCTGAAACACTTGTCAACATCCGGGCTTCTTGGGCTTTTTCCGAGAGGCATGCGTTTGAGTATCTATGAATGTCGGTGGTTGACCGCTTTTGGCCGGCCAAGTGTTTGCAACAAGCCATCAGCACGAGTGTGCGCTTCTGAAATGTTCTCAGACAGTGTGCTCAAACTAGGCTTTCAAGGGTTTTAAGGTACCAGCCTGCACTGAGCCCCCCACACACAGCCATTGGCGCGGCGTTCATCCACTTCACCATACTAACCCCGATCTAAATTAGTGATGAGCCAAACTTGCGTGGATTTTAAGCTGCCTGCCTGTGCGATGGGCCGCCGCGCATCCGATAGTAGAGCGGAGCAGACCAGGCGCTGGGCACCCAGTATGCGTAAAGGACGTGCGCAGGGGTCAGGAGTGGGCAGCAGCTGCAACGGAGGGGTGGGTGCGCAAAGCGTACGGTATCAGCCAGCTATCAGTGTGCATGAAAAAGCTCAATGACTGGTGGAAAGCTTGCGAGCGCGGCAGCAGTGCCAGCTTCATGGGTGTGCGTGGGTTGTGCGGGTGTGGTTGCCCGCCCAGTGTAGGCGTCAGGTCCTGGCCCAGCCAGAAGCGGCACCTCGGCCGGGAGCTGCCGGCAGCCCGTGGGGCGCCCGTGACTCTACTTGAATACCAAGGTATATCTACTCACTTTAAATCTTTTCAACACTTTCATCATCGACCATCCCGCGCGCCTCTTTCTCGAACGGATTGCTCGACACCCGCCGGACCCTCCCGGAGCTGCATCAGACACCCGACTTGAGAACCATCACCCTCGCTCGCCATAAGCATCAGCCATGTCGCGCTCCAGATCCACCATCGCAGCCGCGGCGCTGCTGCTGCTCCTCGCAGCTGCCCGCTGCGTCCAGGCAGCGGCAGCGGGCCCCCCTTCCGACGCACCCGCCCGCGGGCGGCAGCTCCAGGCCTGGCGGCTGCGCCTGAAGAAATCAAAGAGCAGCGCCAACACCACCACAGCCGCCATCACCGCGTCCAGCGCTGCCAACACCACCGCGACCCCCTCTCCCGCGGTCACCATCCCTTCCTTGCTGGCCAACAACTCGGCCGCCGTCGACAACGCCACCGCCACTTCCGCCGACAACGGCACTGTGGGCGCGTCTGCCCTCTCCCCCGGCAAGAAGTTCAGCCGCGACGCCCTCATCGCCTCTGACCTCAACGCCGTCCTCGTCACCGCCTTCAACGTGCTGCGCGCGTCGTTCCTGCTGGCCACCCCCTTTGCGTCGGCGGCGCAGGCGGGCGAGGTGACCATCGGCGCCTCCTGGGGCCTCAACATGGTGGGGCTGCTCATGCAGATGGGCGCGGCGGGCACAGACCTGGCCACCAAGATTGAGAAGTTTGTGGCCGACGCCGCCGCCCCCGCCGGCTGAACGCGCCGCGGCCGGGCGTTTCTTACAGTTTTGTGCGAGAGATGCAACATGATGCCCAAAAGGTTTGCTGCTTGCAAGTTTGGATATCGATCGAGGCCGTTTGATGTGACTGTGACACCGCCCACAGAGCCGCCCCGTGCTCCCATCGCCCCTACCTTGCTTCCCCGGTGACTGGCCCCAACAGCCTTCACCTTGCAATTTTTGCTGGCAACAGCCCTGTTGCCTCAGCGAACTGAATTGACCTTTTTGCCTCGAGCAGCGTTGACTGACCTTTTGACACGCGCCTGACTACCTGCTGTACCCCCTTACTGACGGCGCATGCCATCCCCACTACCGCCTTGACCGCCCGCAACCCACCCCTCTGGTCGGTCGTGTGTGGCATTTTGGAAACTCAACTTAAGCCCCGTGTGAGGGCGGCTGCTGCGCGCCTGCCATTTGCGGCGCACGTGGCGCTGGTGAGACGAGTGGCGAGCGCCTAGGACTTGCTGAGCCGACCTGCTATGCAATGCACGTGCCTTTCTGTAACATGGAAAAGCTGTCGTGTGCACGCGGCAGCGCAATTACACAGTTTGGCACAATCGGGGGGCCTAGCCAATGGCAGCCGCCAAGCCAGGCCGGCTGGACACAATTCTGGCATAATCTTGACAGGCGGCACATGCAAATGCCTGATGAACAACTGTTGACCCTTGTATAGACATCTGTACTGTGCCCCAAAAGGCCGGCAGCCCCGTATAACCCTGCAGGCACGCCAATTCCCAAATTAGGCACCCGGCTCACACATGGGCGCAAAATCTACAAGCGGCCCAGGCCAAGCCAACAGCCTCAGTGGGCCGCAAACAGCACCAGGTGCATGCATTGGGGAAATCAGGGCTGCGTGGGAGTGTCTGTAGGGGCGGGTGGCACATGAGCGCCAAGCACAATGAGGGCGCGGCACGGTGCGCCCCCAGTACGCGCACCCTGGCGCGACCCCGGCAATCGACCAAGCAAGCAAAGCCCAGGCGGGGCCATGGGAGCCGGTGAGTGCCCACGTCGTTCCAAAAACTCAACAGCGACAGCGTGGGCTCGAGAAACCCCTTTGTGTGAGCAGATCCAAATGAGAAGCTGGAGAGCAGCTACCGACCGACTTGAAGTGGAATGCGTGGATCGCCGTGTACCGATCTTGAGGGCAGCGATTTTCTAGGTAGAGACAAGGCATAATATGGTAACCGGTGTGGGTGACATATACGTTGATATATAAGCATTGGATCAGCGCACCGCCAGGGCAGGGGGGCGGGGCGGGGGGCCGCGTTTGCAGACCTCGACTTCAGGGCTGGCGCCAGGGGACACGCGCCCTCCCCGCCTCGCGCTGTCCCTTCCACCTCCTTGGCCCCGCGGCCGCCCCGTCCCCTGAGCACCCGGCGCGACCGCAATGGCCTGAGGGGCGCGCAGCCTAAAAACACGGCCTCCATCGCCGCGCCCCCGCGGCCGAGCGTCGAAGCTGCGCCCCTGCCACCGCGCCTGGCGCTCAGCAGCGCTCAGCGGCGCTCGCGGCGGGCGGCCACGAGCATGGCTCCGAAGGTGAGCAGGTGGCAGGCGATGAGGTATGCGACGAGGATGACGACGCTCATCCAGAAGGGGCGCGAGAACTGGAAGTACTCGAGGATGGAGTTGGTGTCGACGACGCAGTTCTTGTCGGGGTTGGAGAAGAAGAACTTGACCTGTATGAGTGTCAGAGTGTTTTTGTTTGTGTGTGTGTGTGTGTGTGTGTGTGTGTATGTGTGTGTTGTTGTGGGGGGCTGGCCGCGGCGAGCATAGCAGGAATCAGGATTCTGCGGCAAAAGCACCCCAAGGGTCAAGGCAATCCAATGACACTGATCTGCAGCCCTGCCGGCCGACCGCAGGTTCAAGCGTGTCAACCCGGTGCATCACGCCGCGTCGCCATTAATATCAGATCTGAGAGTTCAGATCACGCCGGCTGGCCCCGCGCACCTGGCTCCTCTGGGAGGAGGACGAGTTGGGGAAGGCGCCCAGCAGGAAGGCGAGCTGGCTGTCGCTAAGGCCCTGGGCGCAGGACAGCACGCCATCCCTGAACTCGTTGATCGCCACAGCCTCAAAGCTGGGGGGGTTCCGGGGTTGGGGGGTGTTCCGAGGTTGGGTCGAGGGATGTGGTGAGTTGTGAGTTGGGGTCGTTTGGGTGGAGTGTGTGTAGGTGTGTATGTGTGAACCCGTTATGAGTGCGTGTTTGGGCAAGCGTTTGCATGTGCTCTCGCGCTTGAGACTCTTCAAACAGCCTGGAATAACGCGTCCCGCCCTGGTGATGTCACCGTGACGTCACCATCATCGGGCCCCACCTGTAGTAGGTGGCGCTGATGTACCTCAGGTAGGTCAGCCAGTAGTTCAGCACCTGGGGGGGGGGGGCGGTTTCAACAATTTAATGAAGAAATAGGTAGGAATTGTGTATTTGGGACAATCATGTGTGGGAAAAACGGGTGTAAAAATCGAGGGGCCGAGGCTGGGGCTCAACCGGCTTGTGGAGGCACTGATGGCTCGAAGGATCCAGCCTGTTCGGGCGGCCGCCGGCCGGGGCCCAAGCGCGCTCGGCAGCGGCGCGAGGGGCGCCGGCTCGCAGCCTCGCGGGGGGGAAGATCCCTAATGATTTCGTTCCCCGCAGGGGCCCCGGCTGCAAGTTCCCCCGTTTCGGTTGTTGCCGAAAGCTCCAACCTCGGGGAACACGATGAAGAAGCCTGAGAGCAGCAGCTGGATGGTGGTCCAGAGGATGGACATCATGAAAGCCACGTCCTGGTTGGGCGCAAACACGGCGCACGCGTGGAGCACCTGCGGCGGGAGGAGGGGATTTGGGTGTGTGGGTGGGGCCGGGACAGCTGGATCTGGGGGCTGGGGGGAAGGGGCGTTGGCAAAGAAGGCGTTGGCAAAGAAGGCGTTGGCAAAGAACGCGTGGGCTCGCAGGCGTGGGCGCGCGGGGTGCGGCGCGGGAAGGGGCTCAGTTGCGTGCGCGCGCGGCTGCTGTCGTTCTTGCGCAAACGAGGTTGTTTTACCCAAGTTTGGTTGGGTGGCGCGAAACGAGCAACAAGGGCCTCCTGGGCGGACTGCGACACAAGACCCTTCAACTATTGTGCAAGCCGTTAGGTAAAACAAGGAGCGGGACAAGCACTTCGCGCCCGCTGAAAGCAGCTCTTGAGGTCTGCCGCCACAAACCTGTGAGGCGATGAGGAACATGAGGGTGTTGATGAGGCCGCTCTTGAGGATCGGCACCGCGCCGTGGCGCAGCCCCGCCATGCCGTACACGATGAAGCCGAAGACCAGCGCCGAGATGATCTGGAACGGCGTGATGGCCGTGATCTGGGTGTTTCGAGGCGGGGTTGGGGCGGCAGGGAGGGTGAACCGTTGATGCGTGCGAGACTCAAAAGGGGTGTTGGATTTCAAATTGTCCACAGGACAGGCCAGAAACAAAGAAAAGGGCCGCAGTCGAGGGGGCGCCAAGCACAGGGATTCGGGCCCTTGCAATCGGGTGTCGGATGACTCAGATGACAACTCAGATTGCAGATCGTGGATCAGATCGCGGGTCGCGGACCCCGAGGACCCCCAAAGGCGCGCCTTTGCGAGGTAGTAGGCGAGGGGGCGGTACAGCTGGCTCGACGCGTCGCTGAGGTAGAACTTCTTGTCGGCGCTGTAGAGGCCGGCGCTGATGTAGGGCATCAGGCAGTAGAAGGAGAGCAGCATGTACACCAGGTTCAGGCGGCTGCGGGCGCTGTCGGCGGTGAACTGCGGCGGTGTGTGTGTGTGTGTGTGTGTGTGTGTGTGTGTGTGTGTGTGTGTGTGTGTTTGGGAGGGGGGTGTTTGGCGGTGAAAGGCGTGAAGGAGTTTAAGGGCGGTGCGGGGCGAGCCGGTGGCGCAGACGCGCCGAGGCCGCGCAAGGTCTGAGGCCGGCTGGACGGATCGGCGTAGAAGCAGAGCGTCTGAAAGCCTATCCCTGACCCCATCAACGTGCAAAACCAGTTGACGACGCTGTGCGACCTCAGGGTACAGCCCAAAATCCCTCCCCCATAACCCTGGTCAAACACAGTCAAACCACCCCGCGCAAAACCTCGGTCGAGCTCGGTCAAACGCGGTCAAATTTGGTCAACCCACCGGCAGCCCGTAGTACAGGATGCCCATGAGGATGCCGACCCAGGCAAAGGTCAGCGTCCGCCCGGCGACGTCGAAGGGGTTGCGCGTGATGGACAGGAGCTCGCGCCCGAAAAGCGTCTTGTACTGGGAGAACGCGTTGGACGCAAAGTGGGCGGCCTTGACGGGCGCCTTGGCGTCGTCGCCGCCCTTGGCGTCGCCCTCGCCGCCGGTGAGGCCGCTCTGCTGCAGGTAGTGCGCCTGCGGGTGAGGTTTAGGGTACCCGCGCGGCGCGGGCGAGGACGGCGTGTTGGGTTGAGGTATGCTTCTTGTGCAGCAGGTGAATTCAAGATCGCATCGCGCGTTGTCAAAGGGTGGTGTGCAAAGCTTGTTGGGGCAGTAGCATGGGCATACAAGGGGGCGCCGCCGAGCATCTGCCTCTAGGGTGCAGACGCAGCTGCTTGTTTGAAGGCGACGCGGGCGGCGCCAGGCATGTGTGTGCATGGGATGAGATGCAATAAGCCGGCCGAAACCCGCGGCGGGGCTCAAAAGCCAGTGGGGTCGTCTAAGCCTGCGGGCAGGTGGTGCGGCGGCGGCGCACCTTGAAGGCGGCGGATGCGGCCAGCAGCTCGTCCCTGTTTGTGATGGTGTGGCCGTAGAAGCGCGGCGGCTTGGCGAAGCCGATGGCCACCAGGTCCAGCGCCCTGATTATTGGTGGTGCGGGATATAAGGTCAAGGAGGGAGCATGGCGAATAGTAAGAGGGTGACGATGAAAGGGAGCTTGGCGGGTTGCACAGGGCTCGGCCGGACACAGCAGGTGTGAGACGCACTTGAAGACCCTGTGGCCGGCAGCCAGCGCCCCAACTGAACATCAATCCTGAATTTGAGCAGTGATCAAGGACCACATAGAAGCCACGCGGCCCTAGAGATGCTCTAGCACTCCACCGCTCGGAGCGGGCGCCGCATAGGATATGGGGGACCGGCGTGAGCCCTTGAGAACGCGATCGCCCTCGACTCCCACCGCTTCCCCTTGGAAAAAAACGTACTGCCTGCCCCCCACGCACCAGTCAGAGGGCACGCCGTGGAGGTTTGGGTCGTAGTTGTACCCCAGGGACCCAAACCAGGGCGTGATGCCCTCCCTGGGCCCGTGGTACATGAGGCGGCCGCTGGCCAGCAGCGTGACGGCGTCGAACATGAGCCAGATGGCGGAGCGCGGCTGGTGGATGGAGGCGATGACGACGTGGTTCTGCTCGCGTGCCATGCGCTTGAGGTAGCCCATGACCTGTGTTGTTGGGGGGGGGGGGCGGCGGTGCGGAAAATGCATTGGTGCGGTGGGACGTGGAATCAAAGTGCGAAATTCAAGTGTGCATTCCGAGGCAGAGAGCTGTAGGGGATTGAACACGGTGCATCAGGCAGGCAGGTTGGGGGTTGCCACATCGGGCGCCCCTCGCTGAACAAAAAGAGGATTTCGAAGGCCTGGGCGCGTGATCCCCTCGACTGCACGCAGTGTGTCTGCTGGCGCGTCAATGGCTCATCATGCTCTGTTACCAGCCGCGTCCTTGCCACACCAGCTCCCTGCGCCCCCAGATCACCCGTTCGATCCCCCTGGGAGTCGTGTCTTTTTGCCCACCGTGAGCGCGGCGAATGAGTCCAGCCCCGAGGTCGGCTCGTCCAGGAAAAGCACCGACGGCGCCGCGAGAATGCCGGTCGCGATCGCCAGGCGGCGCCGCTCGCCGCCGCTCAGGCCGCGCATCATGAGGCCGCCGGGCAGCGTGCCGCCGACGATGGTGCGGTGGGCGTGGGCGAGGCCGACCTCAGAGAGCACCTGCCGCGCGGGGGCGGACGCGTGCGCCGAGGTTGCGTTGGCCGGGGGTGCGAGTGACTACAATTTGATCAAGCCGACGTCACCACGACACCCGGTTTGGTGTTCAGGGTCCCAACACGGCCGGGGTATGCAAAACCGATGAACGCCCTGTGCCTCAAGGCAGGCTGACCGACAAGATTGCGGCGGTGCCCGAGTGAGTCGACGGGTGCGGCTTTGGTGATTGACTGCTTTTGTTTTGAGCCCTCGCACCTCGCGGATGCGCTCCTGGCGCCGCTTGTTGGTCCACTTCCCGGGCAGGATGATCTGTGGGGGGGAGGGGGGGGGGCAGCAGGGATACAGCGGGCGGACGCGCTCCAAGTGGGCGTGGGCCTCGGAGGATGCGTGGACCCAGGCAGCCACGACCACACGGACGGCGCGCGACACGAGATGACCGCAGCTGCCGAACGTCTCAACCCCCGCCGCGGGCGCCGGCGGCATGCGCCTCCAGGAGGGCGTGCACCGCCTTACAGAACGCTCGGACGCCCTCTGTACCGCCGCATCAGCATCCATGGGGCCGCCATTGGCAGCGGGTCTATGTGGGTTTTGTACCGCGGCCCACCTGAGCGTAGAAGTCCATGACCTCCCAGGTGGTCATGGTGGGCACAAAGTTGTCCTCCTGCGGTGTGGAGCAGTGCGTCGGTGTGCGGTGTGTGGTTGTGTGGTTGGGGAATAGGAAGTGTACGGAAAGAAAGAGTGTCCATGCTTGGGGATGTCAGAGAGGCGGGAGCGACGGCGACAACCCGGTCCACATGCAACTGTCCACAGCCGCCCGTCCCCGCACACGCGGTGCCCCATCC